ATATATATTGCTTGAACTAATAAAATGGAAGACTATAACTGGATAAATGTGAAAAAAAGCAGACATATTTGAAAAAATTCAAAATGATGTAACAGTTATTGAACTTAGAAATCCAGTAGGTGAGTACAATGCATTTGCACTTCTATATTTTTGGAGCATGTTCCATCACCTACTATGGATTAAGTAATCTATGGATATTCAAGTCCTTTTATAAAATGCTATCTGTATGATGTGCCTATGTGTAGCGTCATATACCTATGCATAGCTTCCTTCCATAAAGTGTTTTAAATCATCTATAGATTTCTTATAATACCTAGTACAGTGTAAATAGTTTTTACACTACGTTGTTTGCAGAACAAAGACCTGGAAGAACTTGGTATACATGTTCAATAAGAGCTTTTATTCCACTGATTATTTTCAATTTATGGATGATTGAATATGTAGATGGAGAACCCTTGGAAATTGAGGGAAGACTGTATAGTACATTTAATATACTCTCAGGATGAACTGAGAAGGTAGCAGAGACACCGTACAGGAGCAGAAGATGATGATGTACAGAATAAGGCTAATGGAGTTCTAGAACAGATAATGGAGGCTAAAACTACAGTGACTCAGATGTTTTTTCAAACAGTTTAAGCTCTATGTCCTGAAGGTCATAAAACATAGCTAATCCCAAGGCAGCCAAATAAAAATCATGATGCCTAGTCATAGAGTGATGAAACCATTGACTATCAAAGAAAATTCTAAAAGTCACTGGAAATAGAACATATATTACACATAAAACGATTATTGGTAACTTCACAGTATAGTGCTCATCAGTAACCATAGAGGCCGAGAGATAGTAGAATCATAGCTTTAAAGAGTTGAATCAGAATAACTCTTAGCCTGCAATTGTATATCTCATTATATTGTCATTTAAAACAAGACCCCACCACGGGATTTAGCAACTCACTGATTCCAGGCAAGAGAACGAATAAATGTGTTGCTCGAGCAAGGATATTGAACTCAAAAGTGGACAGTGGGATTAAGAAGCAGTGTGGAAAAGGGAAATTTGCAAATGGGTTTTAAATCTAAGTAAGAATTGAGTGTTTTTTTAAGAAAGGAAGGTAACTCAGGGCTATCTCGAGAAACAAAACAAATAATGTATATGTGTGATATGATAAAATTGTATAGGTAAGAAATTGGCTCATGGCACTATTGAGTTTGGAGTTGATAAGTCTCCAGAGCTGCAGTTTGTGAGCTAGAAGCCCATGAGAGTAAGTGTTGCAATTACAGTCTAAAAACAGTCAGGCTTTTAAACTGTAAGGCTAGTGGAAGCCAATGTTTCAGTTAGAGACCAAAGGCTAGAAAAAAATACCGATGTCCTAGCTGCACGGCACAAAGAATTTTTCTCCTACCAAGGTTTTTGCTGTTGTTATGTCTTCAGCTGATTGGATGAGGCTCAAACACCCTGGGAAGTATTGCCTGCAGGTGTTCATCTCCTCCAGAAACACCCCCACTGACAAGTCCAGAGTAGTGTTTCACCAGATACTCTCTATCCCTGGCCCAGTGAAGCAGACATGTAAAATCGACCACTTACCCATTAATTGGAAATTGCCTGAACTATGTAGTGAGACCTTGTCTTAAAAAGTATATATTAAAAGATTGAAAGTAAGGTTTTTGGTGTAGAGGATTGAACCCGGGACCTCACACATGCCGTGTGTGTGTGTGTGTGTGTGTGTGTGTGTGTGTGTGTGTGCTCTATCACTGAGTGACAGCACCAGCCCTTGCAAATGAATTTTGTCAAAATAGTAACATAGGGTCAGGGATGTAGCTCAGCAGCACAGCACTTGCCTGTACAAAAACAAAAGAGTTAAGTAGTGAAAAAAATACATATTATGGCCAATTCAAAGCAGAACAGCTAAAAATAATGAAAAGATAAGTGAAATGTAATTAAAAGAAATAGCACAGTAGAAAGAATCAACAATACTAAGTTTTGGTTTCCTTAAAAATACTATTGAAAGAATCAACTTCTAGCATGACTAATAAAAAAGTTAATATTAGGTCATCTAAAGTAAATGTATTGCAGATCCACAAGTTAAATCAGGTTAGTTGGCTTTTACATTTGCTTATTATTGTGAGATTTTTACTTTAGGAAAAGTACAATGAAATGAGCATAATCTTAGGCATTGTAGTCCAGACATTGCCTGTTGCCTGTCTGCAGCTGCTTACATTCATGGCTAACAGTGCTTTCCTATTCCATGGACCCAAGTAATAGGAAAATCTCACTGGGTGCATGCTTGCCAGAAACAGTGGCAGGAATCATGCTTCTGAGATTATTCAGTTTCAGGAAATGTGAGTGAAAGTGGATGTGCACTCCAGCTTGATCGGAGGTAAGGACAGTCTTTGCAGGGAGAGTGCCACCTGTGGAGACCAGGCACGCCCTGGGTCTGCACCCGAGTCCTTGACCTTTATTAGCACTTTCTCCCTTGCTCTAAAAATTGGCTGGTTGCATGAAAAGAAAAAACACTTAGTTATGTTTGAAATAAAGGCACCTAATTATACTTTACTCATTATACTCTGACTTCCTTTGTTTTGAATGGTATTCTGTTCAAAGTATTCAAACTATTTGTTTTACCAAATTTATTGGTTATGACTCTTAGTCTTGATAAGCACACTATTCTAAAATTTATATTGTGAGAAAAATTATGCTCTTTTGATAATTTCTTTTCTTCCTTTAAAATAAATGACTCACTTTTCTCATGGCCCATCACATTGTCCCTTTTCTTTTTTTAAAGTGTTTAACGATTTTAGTAATGAATTTGCATGTGATTTGGCATGAGATGGATAATTTTCTGTAGGACAGCACTTTGGGTCACACTGCTGGGCCACTTTTAGGTTAATCTTTTCCTTGCGTGAGGATGCGAGTTTGTAGTGTAATACATTAGCAGGACCAGATACAGAAGGAGAAGATGCTGCTGTTTCCTTGAGACCTTCAACTGTCCTCAGAGAAGGTGACCGCATGACAAGTGCTTTGATCTCGATCCACTCGCCAGGCCTTTGAATTAGTGTGTGAAACTAAGCAGGCTATGAGGCACACAGTTATCTCTGTAATAACATTGCTGCCATAATGTGTTCCTTTGTAAGATGATTATCAGCTTTATATTCTCAATATTTGTACCACTTACCCATGATTATGTCTTACAGCAATAATTGGTTACACCTATGATTGTATGTGGGAAATGCACAAGTCTGATTTGATTCTTACTGTTATTTAAACTCTGTAGCTGTTGTCTCTGTGGATTCACACAGGAACCTTTGAGTCAGCTGAGATAATTTCCTCGGGCTGGAGGGCTGACTGTTGAGATAGGATGGATAAGAAAGCTCAGTGGTCCTCTCTTTGGATTTCTGTATGCCTTCTCCATGTACAGTGTAAACGTGTTTACAAATGACTATTACTTGTATAACTGTTGCTTTATACATACATGCTTTATATGTGTATGAATAACTGTAGGCAATAATTAAAACAACTGAACATTTTTTATACTCAGTAACATGCTTAAGTGAGTAAAGTATAATTGCCTTATTTCTTTCCATGGTATTTGCTAACATTTATCATATCTACAATGTTCTAATATCACTGAACTTGATAAAGAACATAATAATAAAAAGTTACATCAAAAGTCATTTTATAATTTGAGTGATACAGATCCATAATCTATGACCATTGTCTTAATTTTATAAAATGCATTTGAGTTTGTGCTTGTCTGGGTCCAACTCTAAACTTTTTCGCTAATACTTGGGAATGATTCCACTGGAGGATTTTGACGGAACTGATTCCTAGGTAATACTTGATTCAGTTTCGGTTTATAGACCTGCATTCCTCCCATGCATCAAGAGGAACTCTGGCTCCTGGGCTGCTACATACCTATAATGAACAAAATGAGTTCAGGATCTCCTACCTTGCTCTTCAAAGGTCGTTACCTCTGTAACATCCTTCACTAGATGACCCCCTTACTGCCTTTCTTCTTCTATAACATTTCCTAGGATTTCAGCTTAATTTTCAAGTGAACAAGGCTATTTTCTGTGGAAAATTTGTGTACATATTAAATACTCTCTCCCCATTGACACACAGTGGGACCTCTGTATCTTGAGGTCTAAATACATGGGTTGAAATACGGAACACAGATTGTCCTTGTTACTACTTTGTAAATAATATAGTATAACAATGATTCATACAGCATTCACATTATACTAGTTATTGTAAGTTTTCTAGACATTATTTAAAATGTATGGAAGCATGTGCCCTGTTTATATGCAAGTACTACCTCATTTTATATAAGGAACTTGAGCATCTATGGAATTTGTTATCTGGGGGGTGATGAGGAAGGAGCTCCTGGAAGCAATCCCTGATGGATACCAGATACTAAGAGACAGCTTTATGTAGGTACACACACATACTTTTTTAAAATTTAAGATTCCCTCATTTAACCAATATTACCTACTTTTTTCACCTATGAAATAGGCATAGCATTTTATGGCAGTTGACAAGATCTATTTTAGAAAGGCTTAGTACTCAGAGATGGTTGAGAGTTACCTTTGTTGACGTCACTGGGGTCTTTAAATCTGACCTGCTGTAACTAAGCTACACATGTACATATGCTTGGTTATAAAATACCTGCCTGCAAAAAGTAAATATTTTTCTTTTCTGTTTTTTTTGTTTTTTTGTTTAATTTTCCAAATGAGCTTTTCCAAGCTAATTTATCTGCGAAAAGACATATGCTTTAGGTCTGGGCTTGTTAATTTACCTTGGAAAAAATAGGTCATCATCAAATCTGGCAGTGTGGTTTATAAACTTGGCAATATGGGCTACTTAAAAGCTTCTCTTAGAATAAAAATGGAAAACTGATGAATATCAGTAATATTTTTGTTTTTATGGTTTCTGTGTATGGAGGTATATGTCACTTCTCATGTTGCATTAAAGTATGTTGACTGTTAATAGTTCATCTCTTCTTCTACAGCCTCCAAGTCTGTTATAAATAGTATGCTGCGGGACCCTTCTCAGATTCCAGATGGAGTTCTAGCAAATCAGGTCTATCAGGTATTAATCACAGCTGTCTGTTTTCAGTGGCAGTGCTGTTATCTGCCTAGCAGAGTAAAGGATTTTAAACCTCATTTAATTACTGTCATCATAAACTATCACTGAGGTCAGGGTGCACCATAAATGGCAATGCAATATTTGTGAGAAGAGCATTTCACTTTTTAATAGCTTGCTTTTATAGTAAATAAAAAGCATGCGATTTTTGTTTTCTGTGATTAAATCCAAACAACCTTTTGATCGCTTTCTTTTTTGGGGTGGGGAAGAAAAGTAATTACTGCTTTTAGGATGTTTACTGTAATGATTTTTGTAGTCACCCCATCCCAGACCCCTTCTTCTTATTTTTCTGCAGTGCATTGTGAACGACTGCTGTTATGGACCATTGGTGGACTGCATCAAACAGTATCCTTTGCCATAAAATTTTAGGTGCACAATTGACGAGCTTAGACTCAGTGGAGGAGATGTGTCTGGCTTTAACCTGACATAAAGTTCTGCTTCACAAAACACATTTCATACTCTTCTATTTTACATTCAATCAACTGGAGGGTCACTGCAGACTGTTCTTTCCTACAGCTTAAAGATCAGATAGGCCACACAGGAAGATGTCAGCTCAGCAGTTCCACACTCACATTCTTATTTAAACTGCTTGGTTTTCAGTGAACTTAAAGGTACAGAGTTATTAGGCAGGTAACATACTGTCTTGTAATGCATCTAACCATCCCAGTGAACATTTTTAAAAAATATAACAGAGTCCCATTTAACATGAGCCAAATTCAGTCTGAGTCTCCTGGAATAAATTTTGAGCCTGGAGTTAAAGGATGATGTGATTAAAATGCTACCAGAGACCATTACATTTTAAAGGGCAGTGGATTTTTGTTGCTTAAATGCTGATTACAATCTGAGCTGTCATTTAGATACCTAATAAACATTTTTAGAGAAACCACGTTAATTTTTCCTTTGGGACAGGACTTAAGGCTATGAAAACAGATGCCCAGTCATTCTTCATTAAAAGCACTGAAATTACTAAAGAGTTAATGTTTATATTTTAAAACAGGATTGGGTGGATAGTAACCACTTAACATTATTAACAGTAAGTTTAGTATTATGGTAATAGTGAAAATTTTGATTACCCTTGTTTAAATTGTTAGTAACTTTACTGGATATACTGTATATCTTAGTTCATGATTGTCACATCTCAGTATAAACACGCCCTTTCTGGAATAGGTTTTGTTAGCATGGCTGTTTCTATGACCAGTTGTGACCCAGCAATTACTAAATCCAGACATTGTTGGAAGATCTTGCAAGTTTAATGTGTATGTGTGTGTCTGCACACATGTTTGCATGTGTGTTTATATATGTTTGCTTATATTCTTCCTTGTTTCACAAAGCCTTAGTGTAAGTAAAATTTTTGATAAAATTTACTCTCTTTCCTAGGTGAAATTAAGGTTTGGTAACTGAACACAGCCTTCTCACAGGAACACTCAATACCTAAGATACAGCGTTGTCTATATTTCTAGTGTTACTCCCCTAGCTAGCCTAAAATAACAATAAAAAACAATATTGTCACATGCTTGCCTTTTTATTAAACTAAAGTAAAACTGTACTTCTACTTTCCATGTAAAATTAATGATAGCATTAGAAATTGTAGAGGTGCCAACTTCGGGCTTCTGCAGTGATAAAGTTTAGCACGTTCATATAACAACTAACACCATCTCTGCGTATCTGAGGCTGAATTACATGTTAATTTTAAAGCACATAAAATAGTTAAAATCAATTTAAAGTTAAGGTTTTAAAAGCATAATGTCTTTTGAAGGATTGCATATTGATTTTAAATATAACTATCTAATTATATATGCATGGACTAAAGTATGAAGTCAACTGCTTTGTAAATGCCAGGAGGCTATTTTTCAGTAATAGTAGAGATGCTTACGGGAAACTAGATTGCTGTATTGCTGGCGAAGAAAATGGCTTGTGAGGTTATTTACAAGTTTTGCCCCATGGTCACTGCCATACATCAATAATAAGGTACTCTTCTAGACGAAGTCTAAGTGTTTCTGCTTATGTGCATTATAAATTCTGTTTGGAGTTTCTTTTTATTTTTGTCATCAGTCATGTGCCCCCCTTTTTTTGGCTGTGTTATTGTCTGTAGGAATTGATGTAGTATATGATTTCAATTGATAAATAGGAAGTACATTTATAAATCGCAGTCATTGACTAGATTACAATTTTTGCAATTCCATTATGACTCTTGCCAGTAAAATTGGTTTTATATGCTTTATTTACTAGATCTTACATTTTATATATGTTTATGCTGAACAAAACATAAGAGGTATATCTTTCCAAAATCTCAAATTGGTGACTTTTTACCATGCAAAATAAGACAGGCAGAGAAGTTTATAGAGAAACTGGTTTATTGTTGCATTGAAGTTGTAGCGGTTTCATATAATCTAAATACATTTACAATGATGTTTCCTCAACTGAGCAACAGAAATTATTTTATCTCACACTAAATAAAAGTTATTGGTTTTTCATGTAAGAAAATGCCATTTATGTAGCATTCTGATAATTTGGTAACATTTATATTGCTTACTGTCAGCATATCATATCATTTTCTAAGAAAGAAAGCACACATTTGGTAAATCAAATAGTGTAAAATCTTCTTGCTCCATTATGAAAGTTACATGTACATATTTGTTTAAGTACAATAAAGCAGATTGGTCATTTACTAATAGAACATCACACAAAGTGCAGTAGCAGAGAACAAGTGGCCACGTGCTTTCTCTTTTCTTTTAGTGTCTGCTGTATTTTTTTCCTTCAGAGCCACGGTCACCTTTCTACCACAGTTTATACTCACTGAGGGAAAAAAGTGAGAAACCGGCCACTTCAGTGTTCTCAAGTGTGAGTCTTGGACACAAGTATTAGACAAAAGTCTACATGGAGAAGAAGGAAAGATAATGATTCAGGAAGCTTCAAGCACTGTGGCTTTCATTTCTGCGCCATCAGTAACCTCAGTTTCATGATTCAACATTTTGGATGTAAATAATTCACAGCGATAAAAGTGAGAGCATATTTATGTGCAATATAAGTAAATAATTTAGTTCTAAAATGTGGGATGCCCCTAGTAATGAGATACCATTGAGAGTTATTCATGTGATATCTTCATTGGACTCTAAAACTGTGTGTAATTTTGTGACTTAAAAATCTGCTTTTTTTTATTTTACTCTATTTCCAATTAGAAATTAAATAAACTACAGCTGCTGCATTGGGAAAGGAAAAAAAGCAATAGGAAGAAAAAGGCAGTAATGATGACTTATCACTGATTTTGGTGAAGGGCATAAATGACTTCCATCTGTTACACTATAGAATTTAAAATCATGTGCACCAATATGTATTAATAAACAGCAGGATAATTCTCTAGAAGAAAAATGTTTGCAAGTAGTATGAGTTATTTAAGTTGAACTCTTACAGTACATAATCAAAGTCATAGTCTTTGGTAAGCCAAGGAATGATGTAAGTAGGTTGACATTCTCAGTGAGATGAAGGGTAAAGGTAATGATTCAGAGAATTATTACCAAACGCTTTTGGCTGAATTAAAGTGCCAGAGTAAGATAGCACTTGTTTCCCTGACTTGGTGCAATCTTATCACTTTGGAAAGCATCCCTTTTTCAAGTCCTACTCCTGATTTTGTTGTTTACCAGCTGTGAGATTTCAAGTCGCTCTGCCTTTCTAAACCTTACTTTTCTTAACTGTAAATATGAGACTAATAATAGCATCTACTCAGGTGGTTATTAGGAAGAATAAATGAAATCATATCTCAAAGTACTTAGCACATAGTCTTCATGTGGCTGTTATCAGTTATACAGTTTTAATGCTTTTTGAGCAGCTCTATAGAGGAAATGGGCAGGCTTATTCCCATTCTCAGCTTTGCCATATAACTGGCCTTCTATGTGCAGGTTCTTCAGTCTCAGTTTTCTCACATATAAAATAAAGCTAATCACGATTGCAAGGTAAAATAATGTGCATAAATCACTTGTTACAGTGCTTGCCTCCTAGGAAGCATTGAAATGATTTATTTATGTAAGTATCGTATATCTGCATATATGTAAAAGACTTGAATAGTCTCTCTAGAACACTCTCTCCTGGGGTTAGTTATGTATAAAATGCCTTTATTTTGGATTACCTGTATTCTCTTTTTTTTGACAAGTTCTCACTATGCGGTTCAGGCTGGCTTGGGCTTTGTAGTCCAGGCTGGTCTTGTACTTGCGATGATCCTCCTACCCCAGCCTCCCAAGGGTGCTGGGATTATAGGAGTGCGCCACCACGCCTGGCTTGCATTCTCAAATCAGTTAGTCGTTTGACCTCTCAAGTCACAGCAGATCACCAGCAATAGATGGGAAGTGAAATAGAGGGGCTGATAAATGCTGGCTCAGTGACAAGTGTGAATTCACAGATTTACAGAACTCTGTAAGACTGGAAATTCTTTTAGGACAAATCTGGTCATTATTCTTAGCTGTAAGGTAAATGCTTAATTAATGTGTACTAAATTGAATTGAGAGATTTTTAGCACCGGTTAGTGAATATTTGTCTCCTCCTCTTTTTAAAACAAGTTAAAATCACACCCATTAATAAACCTTTGTTTTCCAGAATGTATAAGCATTATAGAAAATTCCATTGCATTGTTTAAATGAGAGGAGGAACATGTGTTGAAATTTAATTCCTCAGAGATGTGGGCTGCAGGTCATGGTACTTACCTAAACTCTCCATTTCATCTCAAAGTGTGGACCCACTTTTTTGACAGTATTAGAATTTTCCTGATGGTACAGTGCTACCTAGGTTGCCTTCCTTAACTAAACTTCACAGTGCCATTGGTCATGAGCATGAAGTGTTGCTGAGAGACTTACTTCTAGAGAAAAACCTGTCCTTTCTGGGTGAGTATTGCTCTCATCTGCCCCAGCTGGTAATATCTCCTTGAGTGCTTAAATATGTATTTTTAAAATCTTCCAGCTGAAGTTATGTAAAGGAAGAGAGAATGATGATTGATGCTGTGCATGTTTTATTGATTTAGAACTGAGCAGGAACTCAAGTTGCCTAATCCCTGTATACACAGTACATACAGAGGCTTGCAATTAATATTTTATAGAATAAGTGGCTGAAAAATGCTTTAATATCTGTAGCAGTATTACTTTTGGTGTCATGAGATTGTAACCATAATCTGGGCCTTCTGAGAGAAAGAAACATAAGAAATATTGTCTATAAAGTACTTTATATATTAAAAAGGAACGGTTAGAAAAACTCATATTAGGTATGGTCATCTCATGTATGGAATAGGATAATTCTTCTGCTTGAAAGCAAAATATCAAGCTTTTATTATTTTTATGCCAGACATTAGTTGTCCTCATAGATTTAGTATGATTTTTCAAAATCGTACATATATACATGTTTATATGCCAGTGTAGAATCTTACTGCAAATTGCTATTTTAGCATCTCTCAAGAATTAGAAATTAAGTCTCAAAGGACAAGCATGTAACAGCTGCTTGTGGAACTGTAAACCAACCTGTAGTGAATGTTTTCCTCCATTTTATTCTATTCTATTTTATTTGAGCATTTCTTTCCATATTGTTTCTTTGTTTTCTCCATTTTAAGTGTTGTAATTTGCAGTGAATCTATTTAAGAAATATAATAGGGATTTATTTTGTATAGATAGTGGGTATGCTATAATTTTTAGGGAAAAAAAACTAAAGAATTAAACTTTTTTTTTGCAAATTAGGCAAAAACTGGTAAAGCAAAGTCATCATGTTCTGTGTCAAGTTGTTAAATACAGTCATTTGTTAAATCTGTTCTAAATTATAATGCTTAATACTTTCCTTAGTAAATTGGAGAAACAATAGAATGGGTCTCTAGTTATTAATTCCAGTATGTAGAAAAAGCAAGTTTTTTCATTTAAAAGGGGCAATTGTATAGTTCAATCTATGGAAATAGGGTAAGTTGAGAAGAAATTGCCTTTTGAAAATCTAAAAATGAAAAAAAAAAGAAAATCTAAAAATAAGATGGTAATAGATCAGACCCAGTTGTAATGGGTGACCATGATGCACCATGAGACATATTTCAGAAATGTGGAGTTCTGGTAATTTAAAAGAATTAGCAGATAATATTGATCATTCAGTCAGAGATCACTATCTACACCGCCAAATCCAGTTGTTTTGCTTTTGTTCTTGTTTTAAGCTAACAGCGGAGCAGTCAGACTTTCAGTGTTTCTTTGTCTTACTCTTCTGACACATCTGCTTGTGACCATCAGGCCCTAAGCCCCTTCTCTTTGATTTGCCTAACTTTTCTCTCCTCTTTTCCTGAGGAGTAATAGCTTAGATGTGGGCTATCTTTAGATGTAGATCCTCAACCTGCCTGAATTTGGTGTGTTAGACCAGATTCACCAAATGCAATGAGGAAACGTGGTCAAAGAATTATTTCTACTTGCCTACAAGTAGTACAGAAAATAAACCAAAAATTGAAACTGATAGGTCCCATGTATTCCTCTATTCTGTGGGAAGTAGAGGTGATTATTTTATAGATGCATACCCATAAAATGAAATATAACTGGTCTTTAAATGAGTTCTAAGAGCGTTAGAAACATTTTGAAACATTTCTTCATCAGCATACAAAAAACTGCTAATTTATTCTATGCATAGTAAGTGTTTTAATGTAGTTCTAAGAGAACACATGTTTATTACAGTTAAAACATGAAAATTAATTATAGACATCATATTTTTTTTATCCTGTCATCTGTTGATGGGAATATAGGCTGCTTCTAGTATTTAACTTTTATGAATTGTGCTGTTATAGACTGGTATACATGTATCACTGTAGTATGATGTTTTTAGCTCTTAGGGGAAGATACATACAAGGGGAATAGCTGGGTCATATAGAATTTCTAATTTAGGTTCTCAGTACTGATTTGCATAATGGTTGTACTAGTTTACGTAATCCCCAAGAATGCATTGATACCTCTTGCCAATAGAAGGTAAAAGCAAAGTAGACCACCAATTTTTTTCCTAGCCTTACTATTTTCCTGATTTCCTTCTGTATAGCCACTTACTGAAAAGTTGCCATGCCATAAGATTTACCCTGGCAGTATGGAAAACGAAAAAGAAGTGTCCTTGTCACCGAAAACTTGTTCATACTCGTGTGGAATTATCTTCCATCTTATAGACATATTTAAACAAATACGTGCACTGTCATAAGGTAGTTCAAAATTGAATAAATGGTTTTTAATTTTCTAACTATGAAACACTTTTCTTTTATATATTCATTTAATCCACAAATAAGTTAAAAAGTTAGGTACTATTGTAGTCAGTAGATCAAAGTGAACTGAAGTTCCTGCTTCCATGCAGTTCTGGGAGTTCTTGTAAGTCTTTTATATATTCTTTATAAGTTCTGTCAACTCAACATTTTTTAATGTGTTTTGTACATGCCAGGAACTAAAACTGTACTAAGTAATGCGAAGATGATCACTTACAGGCATCTTGTGTCCCGGCAACGCACAGCCACGCACACTCTTGTCACATCTGTCTTAGTGAGAGTGGAATTGTCTGTCCAATGCATCTCCCTGAGCAGTCGCTCACTCAGTTGTCTTCACAATGAAAATAAATGCACCTATGGCTATTGTCATGCTACTCTTACTAAACACTTCTACGGAAAGGTATACATTACACTGAAAATCAATAACTACTTTACAGGTAAAGAAAATATTGCTGCCTCATGAGCTATTTTTACTGACATGGTGACAGCATTTTACAGATTCATCTGTTTTGCCCCTCCAGGACCTTCTTCCTTGAGTACTTTTAGGATGGCCAGTTGCATTCATTAGCTTGGCTCCCATAAGTTACCAATAGCTAACCAGTCTTTTAGGTGTGTTCCATCATAAAGGCTTTTAAACAAAATTTCAGTTGAATCAGATATGAGACCTTCTAGGAAAACTTAAAGTATGTTTCAGTAAGTGTTAGTAATTCCTTCCAAAGATAACTAATTTAGAATTAACATTTATTGATCAACATCTGAGGTCTCAGAAAATGTTAAGAACCATTGTCTACTCCTAAGCTTTCACACACGAAGAACTCTGTTTAAATGTTAAGTTGATCAATAAGAATTGTGAGTATCCTACCACCTCTGCTATGAATTCACCCCATTTCTCATATTAACACAACAGAAAAAGTTATCTACTGAGGAGGAGGAGAGAGAAATGATACCAAGCTTTGTTACGTTGTAGCCTCTTGTTCGTTTTTTGTTCTGGATAGTTTCTGTTCAGGTTTTTTTGTTTTGTTTCCTTTTTGAGACTTTTGAACAGATAGGGTAAGAAAGGAAAGAGAAACAGTGACAGTGTGAAGATGACAAGACTCTTGTCACTGTTAGGAGAAATAGGAAGGCTTTATGCCAAAGATGGAAGATAAACCATTCCCCCGCCATGGGCTGGCGTATCTCCAGGTCAGAGGGACTTCATTAATGCCTTCCACATCCGCTGTCTGGTGCAAGTTCTTGTTAAGTTTGGCTTAATAAGGATGGCTCTGGAGATATTTTATTCTCTCCAGTGGATGTTACCCTGTTAGTAGACACTAACAATTATTTTGAGTGACACCTGAGAGGCATTTTCTTTATCCCTGCCGTACCTCTGCCCCCTATGTTTGGGCAAACCAGCATATTTTACGTGGGTGTTTTTCTAACATTCATGTATTACTCCATGGGACTGCAAGTGGGTATAATCTATAAAGCCAAATAGGCTTAGTAAAGGATGTCCCTTGCTGTAAGAAATTAGGATCTTTGTTTCTAAGAGTTCATCTGCTCCTGCTGCTTTATTCTCTACCTAAAGTAACAGCGCTCTGCTGGAGAAGTGATTATGATGTGACAAACAGGGGCTTATGATGCCAGGTGAGGAACAGGCAGCAGGAACAGATTAGATTTAGAATAGTAGGATTGTTGACATGCAGCTGTTAGCAGGACAAAGTAAGAGACCAGAAATAAAGCATATTATTATATAAGCTGAAGGGACCTGAGGTGTTTGGGTATTTCTCATGAGGTACAGACCACCTATATTCCTATATATCCGAAAGTTAAAAATCAGGTAGAGTTTTTAAAGTAGTAGGATCATTTTATTGGCGCAGGGATATGGAGAATATGGGTTTTGTTCTCTCCTTCCTGAAGAAATTGTGAAGGCAAGAGACTTTCTTACCTGTTCCTCTTACCGAAAGTGCTTGTGTATACTTTTCCTGGGGACTGAGAAAAAAGAACTCGAGACACCTTTTTGCTGCTGGAAGCTAAAATGGTCTGTGGAACTTTGAAGAAAGTTGTCCTGAGCATTTATAGTAGCAGTCTACGTGTTTACAAACTATAGTCCTTCCCTCGCCGCTGCTCTGGAAAGATAACTTATGTCTGTTTTCCTGAATACTGCAGAGTTACTGGGACTATTTTGATTGCAGGTGACAAAAAGCAAATCAGACCAGTGTATGTGCACATGTTGAACTGATTTGTTCAGATTCATATCTGAGAAGTCCAAAGGAGGAAGAAATTGCGCCTCATGTGCCTAGAATCTGAAACACAAAACAGTATCTTCAGCGTCTCCTTCTTGGATCCTATACTTTTCTGTGTGGCCTTCATTTCCTAGAAGCAAAGATAATCACTGGCAGTTGGTATTTAATCCTTAAGGACTGCATGATCCCAAAGAAAAGTTTATGAACTCTCTTTTTGCCCTGTAACAAATGTTAGAAAGGTCTGCGTCAGTCTGCTCCCATAGCTCAGTGATTACAGGTCATGTTACGGAAAGACATTGTGAATCACATCATGTGAGTTGGGTAGTAATGCCAGGCAAAATGATGTCCAGGCTCACAAAGTGAAAATCTCTCTCTTTCCACAGTGAATTCACTCTACATTAAGACTTTACTC